GCACGTCGGCGCGCGCCCCACGTATTACCTGAAGTGTGCATCCTCCTCCCTTGCAGGGACCCAGACCCTGCTCTTGTGTACCACTCTCCGGCGCGACGCGCATGTTTCAGCTTTGCCCATTTTTCCATCCCGCAGAGGGGAGCAACACGCTATCAGGTTGCAGAGTGCGGCGTGTCGCAGGGGCCGCCGCCGCGACACGCCGAGCAAACGTTCCTGACCGCAAGGGTGGAAAAGAAGACCAGCAAACGGATCTGAGAATTCCATGGGAAGTGCATATTGTCTGCTGCATGCTGTTGCCAATGCATGGCCGAGCCGTGGTTACCTCAAGAGGCTGCGGCCACCTGGGCCGATAGGATGCTGGCCGCCGTGTTGCCGTTGTCTCAACTGGCGTTCCTCCCACGGCAGCCCTCCAGTATGGAAGCCTTCTGCCCCAGAGGTCCGATGTAGGGCTTCTCCAAAACGAGGTCCCCAGAATTTCTGACCCTTTCCCCAGGGCCGCTTGTGCATCCTGAGTAGTTATATGACAGCCCTGCGGCCCGCCGATGGTCCCCGGAGCCGAAAAAACACATGTTCGCCAGCGTGTACCTCAAACAGTGAGTTGGTGCGGCGTGGAGGTGAAAGCTATGCGATTTAAGCTTTATGGTGCAAGCTGTGACTGTGTAAGCTTTACGTTGTGAACTATAGAGGTGAAGGCTATGCGCCGTAATATGCCCAGCTGCCTGCCGCAAGTGTTGCCACCATGCCAGCCCAGTATTCAGTGTGGCGATTGCTCGAGGGGTCATGGGAGGCCGTCACATGTAACACTTCTTGCCTGATGATTACGTTGATCGGTGGCGATGATATGATGAGGATGAGGATGAAGATGGCGATTGTTATGATGATGAGGTGTATGATGATGTTGGTGATGATGTTGATGGTGCTGATGATGGTGGTCGTGAAACTGATGCCAATAACGATTAGAGGATGAGGATGAGGATGGGGATGATGCTGCTGATGATGATGGTGGTGGTGATGACGATGATGACGATGTTGATGTTGCTGATGATGGTGGTAGTGGTGATGATGGTGATGGTGATGGTGATGACGATGATGATAAAGATGGTGATATGCATTATCCTTATCAGCAGCATCATCATCATTATCACCAGCATAATCATCAGAATCGGCAGCATCATCATCATCGTCGTTATCAGCATCACCGTCACCATTATCATCACCATCACCATCATCATCATCATCATCAGCAGCAGCATCATCATCAGCATCAGCATCAGCATCAGCACCATCATCAGCAGCAGCAGCATCATCATTATCATCATCATCATCATCATCAGCAGCAGCAGCAGCACCATCATGAAAGTCGTCAGGGCCGTCTCGGGGCTGTCTTGGCCTCCTGTGAGACAGTCGCGGGGGTCCCCTGTGGCCGTCTTGCGGCCCTCTTTCGCTGGCTTGGGGATCTCGTGGGCCGTCTTGGGGCCCTCTTGGCCGTGTTTCGGGTGTCTGGTGGCGGTCTTGGCGCCGTCTTGGGCTGTCGAGGGGCCTACTAAGGCCGTCTTGGGCCCCACGGGAGGCCCTCGTTGAACCATGTTGGGGCCGCCTTGGATGCCTCTTGGGCCATCGTGGAGTCCTCTTGGGCCGTCTTGAGCTGATGGCAACCCGAAAGGTGAGAATGCGAAAATCATTCAAACACCAAATAGGAGTCAATGATTCTCGCTTCCTCGGTCGGTCGGTCCCTCTTGGATGCATCTTGGGCCGTCTTTAAGCAATATTCGGCCACCTTGGGGCAATCTTGGGCCATCTTCGAGGCATCTTGGGCCATCTTGGTATCCTTGGTTGCCTGCGCTGGCCATCTTGGAAGCTCGGGAAGTATATCCATCGTTAGGGATCGTGGCTTGGGAGGCCCTCGAGCGCTTGGCAGCAGCGCCTGATAATGCGGGAAGTGCACGATCCTCGAGCGGGTAGGCGTGGGATGAGGGGTCTAGGAGGCAACAGCCACTCGGGAAGTGCACAATCCTCGAGCGGGCGCGCATGGAATGAGGGTTCAGGTATTCGCTGCCTTGCGGGAAGTGCACCATCCTAGAGCGGGCACGGGTGGAATGAGGGTTCAGGCATTTTAGCTGCCGTGTGGGAAGTGCACCATCCTAGAGCGGGCACTGCTGGAAGGGTGGTTCAGGCATTGTAGCTGCCATGCGGGAAGTGCACCGTCATAGAGCGGGCACGGGTGGAAGGGTGGTTCAGGCATTATAGCTGCCATGCGGGAAGCGCGCAATCCTCGAGCGGGCACGCGTGGAAGGGAGCGTCAGGCTAATATGTAGGTGCCATGCGGGAAGTGCATCATCCTAGAGCGGGCACGCGTGAAAGGGTGCGTAAGGCATTAGCTGCCATGCGGGAAGTGCCCCATCCTCGAGCGGGCACGGGGAAAGTGGCCTCGGCGAGAAGGGGGGATGCACGCGAGAGTCTGCTCGTAGAGGGGTGGGCGGTCCCCTGTTAGATTGCAACAAGCCCGCCAGATAGCCCACAGCGTTTTGTCCACGCCTCAACGTGCCATAGGGGCACGGTGGCGGATGTGATGTAAGCTGTGGTGAGTACTGCATGGGGTGTGAGCTGAGTGTGAAAGCTACTCGGCGGCGAGCGAGGGGGGGAGAAGAGAGTGATGAGGCCTTCTCAGAAGGCGGCGGGACTTCTCAGAAGGCCTCCGGCCTTCTGAGAAGCTTTCTCTGTCCTCGGGGAAGGCTTGGAATACTTCTCAGAATGTCCCGGGAACTCCCGAGCCTTCTGGGAAGGCCTCCTCCTTTCTCGCTTCCCCCCAGGCGCGCTGCCCAGCTGTGCGGGATGAGCTGCGTGGCAGCAGCCGTGTCGTGTGAGCTGTGTGGGGCCAGCTCAGCGCACAGGGCGCCCACGAGCGCCCACGGGGCGGCACCGGCAGCCACCTGGCGCAGACTCCGCAGACCCACCCGGCGCACGGGGGGCCCACGACCGCCCGCGAGGAGGCCCTGACGGCGACGTGGTTCAAACCCTGCGGACCCACCCAGTGCTCGCGGTGCTCACGAGCGCCAGCGATCAATCGGGGGCGGAAACGAGGGGGGTGATGACTAGGGGGGGGTGGATATCATGGCGAGGGCCATGATTTTCCCCAGATTTCATGGCGCCTCTTCTTATTTCATTACGTCCCTGGCCCTCCCGCTGGGCCGCGCACATGCCGCCGGTCATGATTTGCACCCCCCCCTCTTGGACACCCCCCTCTTTGCCGCTCCCGAATCAAGGGAGGAAAAACCACCCGGGCCGGGCAATTGGCGTATATCAAACGGCCTTGGGGCGTTTACGAAACAGCCCAGCCCTGCTCGATTCCTCCAGTGGGGGCGCTTCGAAAACGGCTTCGCGTGTCGGGGTGGTCATTATCGGGCTGGATTTTCTGCCCTTTAAACGAGGCGGCACGGCCAGCAATGTTCGAGGGAGAGAAAGCGCCATACACATTAACTTGTGGCGCTCCGCGCGGAGTTCTCGGATCCGCGCTGGGCCCCCCCCCCCCTGGCGCGCCTCCGGCGCCGCCCCTGGCGCGCTCCGCGCGCGGGGGAGGGGGGTCCAGCGCAGATCCAAGAAATCCGCGCGCAGCGCCACAAGTTTGTGTGTTAAGTTATGGCGTTCTTTGTTCCTCAATGCCGCGTGGGTCAACCTCGGCGGGCCCACCCGGCGCACAAGGCGCCCGCGTGCGCCCACGAGGCGGCACGGGCTGCAGCGTGGCGCAAGCTCGGCGAGCCCACCCATCGCACCGGGCGCCCGCGGGTTTGCCCACGGGGCGGCGCGGAGGAGAAAAAACCATGCGGCCCGCCCGAGGGTTGAAGAACGCGAAGTAAGAGCCTTCAAGTGCAAACGCTGCGTGAAAGAAAAGGGCCTCCACTACCATATGTAGGACGGGGGAGAAGGGAGGGTGAGGAGGGCCTCCTCCTCCTCCTCCTCCTCCTCCTCCTCCTCCTCCTCCGCCTCCTCCCTCTCCTACCTATGGTAGTGGTGGTGGAAAATGGGGCCATCATGTTGAAGGACTCCGGTTGGATTCCCAGCGGCTCAGGAAGAACCTCGAGGCCAAGCGCAAGGGACGCCACATGGGCATCGGCAAGCGCCGCGGCACCAAGGAGGCGCGCATGCCCTCGAAGGCGCCCTACCCGCGCGCGCGCGCCGCACGCGTCGCAGGCGGCGATAGCGAGCAGGCGGGACGCGATACCCAGACCTCTTGACGACGTGGAGGGCATTGCGACGGGAGGCTTTTGGCAGTTTTTGGCCGTCAGGGGCCCTTCTTGGGCCCCAGGGCCGTCTGTAAACGATTCACGATGGAGAGCGGGTCTCCGCGAAAGGGTCCAGACCTGCGCGGGATCGTGTCGTGGATCAAGAGGACGATGTCCAGGGCCCAGAATCCAGGAAGAAGAACCTGGGAAAGGGGTCGACCACCCCCCCCAGGCCTGGCACGCTTTTGGTGTGTCTCGTCGTCCTCCTCCGCTTTCCCCCCCCTGGCCTGGCACGCTGGTGGCGGGTCACGCGCAGTCCTCGGCACGTGCTCGGCGTGTCGGCTTTCCCGCGCTCTTGCACGCCTTTGGCGTGTCTGCCCACGCGACCTGGCGGACGCAAGGCTTGGTGGTGGTGGTGGTGGTGGTGGTGGTGGGGAAGGGGTCTGATGGGCAAGTTCTCCACCACCGCTGCCACATGTAGGATGAGGAGGTCCTCCGCCTCCCCCTCCTCCTCCTCCTCCGCCTCCTCCTCCTCCTCTTCCTCCTCTTCCTCCTCCTCCTCCTCCTCTCTCTTCCTCCTCCTCCTCCTCCTCCTCTTCCTCCTCCTCCTCCTCCTCCTCCGCCTCCTTCTCCTCCTCCGCCTCCTCCTCCTCCTCCTCCTCCTCCTCCTCCTCCTCCTCCTCCTCCGCCTCCTCCGCCGCCTACCTGTGGTAGCGGTGGTGGAAACTGGGCCCAGCAGGGTCGGAACGTCCTGCAGGGCCCGCGGAGGGAACGAGCCACGTCGTCGGCTGCCTGGGCGCCTGCTCCTGGCCAGGGCCCCTCGGCGGCGCCCAGAGGGGGTGCGGCGCAAGGGGGGGCAGCCTTAAGTGGGGCCTGCCCCTCCACAGGAGGGAATTTTCAACAACTGCAACAAATAACCTGGGGCCATGATTTTATGCATGTTCGTATTTCTACTAGTCTTCGCATGTCTGTTATTATCCGTATTATTAGTATTACCATTCTTAGTTGATCATCATTGTTATTTTTATTAATCTTATGTTTAGCACTGTTTGAATCTGGTTTGGGGATTGTTTATTTTTCGTCCCAAATCCGCCTCTAGGGGGGCACTCCCGACCTGAGTGCAGACTATTAAGAGGGCGGAAGGGTTGGCGGCGCGCACAAGGGGGGTAGGGGGGGAGGGGGGTGGGAGGCTTCTCAGATGGAGGCTGCTTCTCAGACGGCGCCAGCCTCGCATCTATAGGTAAGGCCGCGCCTTCTAAGAAGAAAGGTCCTTCTAAGAAGCCTCCCCCCCTCCCCCTACCGCCCCTCTGCGCGTGACCGAAGGGGGCTCAAGCGCCAGGAGCTTCGACCATCGACGACATCCCGAGGGGGGGCGTCGCCGACGGACCAGGGACAACGATAGCCAGAGGAGGAACAGGTACCCACACTGCTATCCTTCCTCCTGTTCCCCCCGTTGGGTCTCCCGCGAGGCCCGCGTCGCCACCGCCGGAGCCGCTTCGAAACTCTGGTGAGAAGGCCCCCCGGGAGAGGTCTAAGGAGTGGCGGCATCGTTACCTTTTTGGTTTCCCCAGCCGACGGACCAGGTGCAACGATAGGGGGGACCTGGCTCTCGGGGGGGACGTATCGACCCCCAATCGCCCACTCCTCGTTGCCGGGGGCCTGGGAGCCCATCCCGCCCAGGAGGCTGCGCTTTCGCTGCCACAGGGCCGTCGATCTCTCGGCGATGCATCGCCGCTTGGAGTGAAACGCTGTCCGCCCTGCGCCAGTTCCTCCACGCCTGCATCGTTGCCCCTCAGGCAGGGGGCCAGCCTTCTGACCCCTTGGCATCGCTCGGACGTGTGCATTTTTCTCTCGGCGAGGACCCTCGAAGCCACCCTTGATCATTTGGCAAAAAAAAAAAACACGCACGAAACGGAACAAAAGCACAGAGATTGGACGTCCGAGCGATGGCCAGGACCCCGTGGAGGCCACGAGCAGCTCCCCGGCGCGTCGCGCCGCCAGCTCCGGCCCAGCACCCTCTGGCGGCGCGACACGCGGAGCACGCCCCTAGGAGGAGGAGGAGGAGGAGGAGGAGGAGGAGGAGGAGAGAGGAGGAGAGGAGAGGAGGCGTGGAGGAGGAGGAGTGAGGGAGGAGGAGAGGAGGAGAGGAGGAGGGGAGGAGGAGAGGAGGAGGAGGAGGAGGAGGAGGAGGAGAAAGGAGGAGGAGGAGGAGGAGGAGGAGGAGGAGGAGGAGGAGGGGGGGGAGGAGGAGGGAGAGGAGAGGAGGAGGAGAGGAGAGGAGAGGAGAGAGGAGGAGGAGGGGGGGGGAGGAGGAGAGGAGGAGAGGAGAGGAGGAGGAGGAGGAGGGGAGGAGAGGAAGGAAGGAGGAGGAGGGGGAGATGAGGAGAGGAGGAGGAGGAGGAGGAGAGGAGAGATTAGGAGAGGAGAGGGGAGGAGGAGAGGAGGAGAGGAGGAGGAGGAGGAGGAGGCGGAGGCAAAGGAGGAGGAGGAGGAGGAGGAGGAGGCAAAGGAGGAGGAGGTCCCAGTCCCCAGCGTCCCGAGCCTCTCCCACCCTCCCGTCCCGCCTGGCAGAGCGACGTGCGATTAGCTTGCAAGGCACGGCGCGTCGCAGGGGCCACCGCCGCGAAACTCCCAGCACAGGCTCCTCACTGGAGGTTGCAATTCCTGGGAGGTTCAATTCAGCATCGGCACCAGTAGACCCTGGGGTACAGTCCGGCCTAATCTGGCGCAGTCCGACTTGGTGCGGCTTACTCCGGCTTGCACTGTCCGGTGCTCATTCGGGATGGAGCTGAGCGCCTCTATAAGGCTCCTCGATCGGACTTAGCAGCCCTCGGTCGCTATCACGGAGACCTCGCAGGAGTTGCCTCCGCACTTTTCTTCTCTCCCTCTTTCTCTGGGTCGACCCTCTCCTCTCCTTCTGCGTAATGTCCGGCAGCACCGACGTGCCATTTCCACACGGGGTGCGTCACATGGCCACCAGATTCCCATCGCCTGCCCCCGCACAGCTGCTTCTGGCCCAGCCTGGGCCCACCATTACCAGCCTGGAACATATCCCTATCCCTATGCTGGGCATCGCCTCATCCCGATGCCAATCTCAGGGACTCCCCTTTTTTTTGAGGGCGCATCCCTAAGACTGTCATCGCCTTTTGACGGGTCGATCTCGGGGATAGGGATATGTTCGAGGCTGGTAACACCGGTAACACCACCGCATGCACCTGCAGCACGATAGCCTGCAGTCAGGAAGCCTCCTCCTCCCTTCCTCCAGCAGGATGCCGCCCCCTGCCTGGGTGACGGAGGGGCCTCCTCCGACGGGGGCGCAATCGGGGCGAGGAGGGAAGGAAGGAGGAGGAAGCAGAAGAAGGAGGAGGAGGAGGAGGAGGAGGGAGGAGGGAGGAGGAGGAGGAGGAGGCAAAGAGTGAGGAGGAGGCAAATGAGGAGAGGAGGAGGAGAGGAGGAGAGAAAAAGGGGAAGGAGGAGGAGGAGGAGGAGGAGGAGGAGGAAGGGAGAAGGGAGTAGGGGAGGAGGAGGAGGAGGAGGATGAGGAGGAGGATGCGGAGGAGGAGGAGAGGAGCACAAGGAGTCGATGTGAGAGGGTGAAGGAGGAGGAGGAGGAGGAGGAGGAGGGAGGAGGGAGGAGGAGGAGGAGGACGCCCTCCCTCCTCCGGCCTGCCCGCGCGCCCCGTCCGGAGGTGCTGTGGATGCGGCGGCAGCGCGTGCTCCGCCGCCTGCTCCGCAAGTACCGCCAGCAGAAGAAGATCGACAAGCGCCCGCCTCGGAGCCGTGGTCTCGAGTCGGGCCCGTCCCTCGACAGGGGGAATCTTCAAACATAGGCAAAACATAGTATGATGACGATCTTCTGACTATGTTGGGGCATTTCTTGAGTACCTTTTTTATATTTTTCGTCCAAAGTCCGCCTGTAGGGTGACAGGCCCGACCTAACTTGTAAGTCGGGCATGTCCCTCTACAGGAGGAGCAGTCCACAGTACTCAAAACGCAGTCTGGGTACGATGTTCCTCATATTTTTGGCTCTCGATTTGTTGTAATGATTTGCCAGCTGTCCTTCGAAATCCGCCTGTAGGAGGACATGCCCGTCCGAAAAGTGGCCCGTTGGGCCACATGGGGATACCCGCACGGCGCCCCTGCCCCATTTTTTTCCTCCCCCCGCCCTCGCTCTCCGCAGGCCTCCCAGATAGGCTCCGAGCAGATGGGGCCGGAGGATCGCGCCGCATCGCCGATGCATCGGCAATACGGCTCGATGTGGAGCCCGATTGTCTCCACGCCGACATCGGCGATGCGTCGCCGACGTCTCCGACTCATCGCCGATGCATCGCCGATACATCGGCGTTGCATTGGCGATGCGGCACGATCCTTCGACCCCCATCTACTCCGAACCCATCTGGGAGGCCTCTACTCGCCTCTCCTCTCCTCTCCCTCTCCTTCGTCGTGCTGGCGTATGATCACGGTTTCAGTAGCAGTGCGATCGGGGTCGCAATGCGAGTTGAGGGATGAGCCGATCTCGAAGGCTGGCCCGACATTTTGACCAGGGAAGGAAAGACTGTGCACGCCGGCCGTTGAATGTAGGTGTTTTGGGATTCCCAGTTCACAACCCATTGCAGGCGCCTTCCTACTTCAGTGATCGAGCGGCTGTGCCTCTTCCCGTCCTCTTCGGGGGGCGGGTGGGAGCCCAATCGACTTCCAACACTCTCCTACCTCATGCTTCGATCCACTTCTTCCGACCGACGGATCGCGAGACCGCTACCCTTGCCTCGTTTCTCACCTCTTCTGGGCCTCTTGGAAGGCCCTTGTCGTCTCTGCCGGATTCGCCTCCAAAGTCTGCTTAGAACGCACCGTGGGATAGGTCCGGGGAGTAGCAGTATCGGTACCTTTTGGCTTCCCCGTCCGAGACGCCCGTACGTGCAGCCACCGAGTCCATCGAACTCTCCGGTTTCGGGGCACGTTTTTTTTTGTGGAGGCTTATTTTGGCCGAGGTCTTGCTGTAGTCGTTGTCCTCCTCCTCCAAGGCCACTGCTTCGCTGGATGCCTGAGGAGGAGGAGGAGGAGAAGGAGGAGTTGGAGGAGGAGCAGTAGCAGGAGGAGCAGGAGCAGGAGGAGCAGGAGCAGGAGGAGGAGGAGGAGGAGGAGGAGCAGGAGGAGCAGGAGGAGGAGGAGGAGGAGCAGGAGGAGGAGGCGGGGGGACCGCGCATATAGCCAAACGCTGAAATATAAGGAACGGTCTTGGCTCGGCCAGGGGCTCGCCGTTCTCTGCGGGTCATTGCCACGGCTGGTGCTCGCTACTGCTCTTTGTAAGCCCAGGTTGTTCTTTCTTGTCCCGAGTAGAGGGCCTTCGTTGCTTAGCCAGCGTTCTTCTCTATGGTAGCGACTTGGCTGTATATACTTGTCATCCCCTCTCCTCCTAAACTCAGTCCAGGTGGCGCAAGCTGGCGCCGACCCGAAAGCTCTGCGCGGGCATGCGAGATCGTGTTCGCGTGCTCGGTTCTTCTCTCCCGTCGAGGCTCCGCGGGTGCTGCCGCGATTGGCGGCGAGGTGCTCCCCGTCCACCTCCTCCTCGCTTTCGTTGCTGCCGGCGGTCTCTTTCTATCCCGCCCTCTCGACTTCGTTAAGGTTCTCGAGCTGATCCTTCTTCCGTTTGGCCACTTCTACCATGAAGCTGTATACACATGATGCGGCTGGCCGGGGCGGGAGCTGGATACAAGTGTACCCAGATGAGTTTCCAGCTGTCGGTCCTTCGATGGCCGCGCACGCTGGGTTTCTGGGCGTGTATCCAGCGCGCGGCCTCTGAATGTTCCGCGTGTGAATCCAGCCATGTTTGTTTCCGGTTCTTGGGTCGCATGGCGGATGCCCCCTTGCCACCCACTTCCTCTGGAGGGCGGCTGGGCCGACGAGACGGGGGAGCAGCTGGATAGACCCGGGACGGGATAAGCTGTGTACATGTTTCCCTGCTCCGCTCCCCCCGAAAAGGTTCTACTAATTGTGGCAGGGACAATTTCGATAGAGTTTGATTCGATACCGATTTTTTGTCGGCTCGATCCGATTCGATACCGACGTTCGGTCGATCCGATGCGGCCCGATATTTGCATGGCGCCGTTGTGCATCCTGGCGCAGCCGATCCGCGGCGATCTCGACCGAGTTCCGATGCAGCCCGATCCGATGCACATTTCCGATCCGATCGGAGGAAGATTTTAGGGAGGTTTTTAGAAAAGGTTCATCCAACAAAAACCCTCCTGAAAAAGATTGTAGGACATTTTTAGGAAGGTTCTTCCACAAAAGAAAACCCAGTGGAAGGTTTTGGGAAGGTTTTTAGGGAGGTTCTTCCAAACAAATCCGACCCGACGCACATTTCCGATCCGACCTCATTCCCCGACCCGATGCTGACTGACCCTGCCCTGCCGACCACCGCGTCCGCGGCGAGCTCTAGCCGAGTCCTGCGGGCGGGCTCGGAGCCAGTACGGCTATGTAGGCGGAGGGCAGGGGAGCCAAAGAGCATCCCCTCCCCCACGTGGGCCCCCCCCCTCCACAGAGGGTGGGGGTGGTTGGGAGGGAGCATACTTTTCATGCACCGCTGCCGAAACATCCTCGCAATCAGGTTTCGAGACGCTCTGGGCCAGCCCCAGTGTGGAAGGGGTTCCGGGTGGGTTTGGAGGTGCATGTTCTCTCCATTGGAGGAGGAGGATACGGTCAGAAACTTTGGCTTAGCGTGTCGCTCCGCCGGTTCTGGCCCACCACGCTGCTGCACGACACGCCATCCACGTCCTGGTCCCCGAGCGTCAACATCCGGAGCCCTTCCGAGCTTCCCGCCCCGCGGTGCAGAGCGACGCGCCATCCGCTTGCAAGGGGTACGTGTCGCCGGGGCCGCCGCCGCGACGCGCTGAGCAAAAGTTCCCGACCGTATGTCGGGCTTCCCGACGCGCTCGCGCGCGTGCGCCTTCGACCCTGAGCCGCCGTGCCGTTCGGAGACGCCCGACTACCCCAGTCCTGCTGCCAGCCAGCCTGACCAGAACGACGCCGCGCGCGCGCCTGTCGAGCCAATCAGTGTGTGTGTGTGCGTGTGTTCCCTGGGTGCCTCACTTGGCCCAGCGCATGTTCGCTTCTCCGGGCGTTCGACTTTGAGCGCTCGTGCGTCTTCTCGTCCAGGCTGCGTGCGACCGAAAGCGCGCGTGTGTGTGTGTGTGTGTGTGTGTGTGTGTGTGTGTGTGTGTGTGTGTGTGTGTGTGTGTGTGTGCGTGCGTGCGTGCGTGCGTGCGTGTGTGTGTGTGTGTGTGTGTGTGTGTTCGTGTGTATGTGTGTGCGTGTGTACGTCCGTTCGTACGAGCCGTGCGTGCGTGCATGTGCATGTGCATGTGCATGTGCATGTGCATGTGCATGTGCATGTGCATGTGCATGTGCATGTGCATGTGCATGTGCATGTGCATGTGCATGTGCATGTGCATGTGTATGTGTATGTGTATGTGTATGTGTATGTGTATGTGTATGTGTATGTGTATGTGTATGTGTATGTGTATGTGTATGTGTATGTGTATGTGGATGTGTATGTGTATGTGTATGTGTATGTGTGGTGCGTGCGTGCGTGCGTCGTGCGTTGCGTGCGTGCGTGCGTGCGTGCCGTGCGTGCGTGCGTGCGTTGTGTGTTGGTGTGTGTGTGTGTGTGTGTGTGTGTGTGTGTGTGTGTGTGTGTGTGTGTGTGTGTGTGTGTGTGTGTGTGTGTGTGTGTGTGTGTGTGTGTGTGTGTGTGTGTGTGTGTGTGTGTGTGTGTGTGTGGGGCGTGTATGTGTGTGTGTGCGTGTTTGCCACGGCCGAGCTCAGCAGTTGGTAGCCTCTGTGAGGCACCTTTGGATGTTTTCCCCGTCTCGTGGTCCCAGCCAGCGCACCAGCTAGCTTTTTGGAGGTAGCTGTCTCCTGCTGCCACGCTTCAGCGTCACCCGGACTACACTGCAGCCTTACCGATTCTGTCTTCTTCGTTTCTTCGAAATCGGAGAGAGGGACGAGGGAGAAGTGCACGAGGAAATCAGAGGTCCCTAGCAATGACGAAGCCCACTTCTCGCCCCCATGGGCCAAGGTTTGGGACGTAGACCGTGCAACGAGGCGTATGCAAAACGAAATCTGGGGCCTCGCGCATCCACGATCGGGCGTGACAGGCGGCCCTGCGGGGTACCCTCGAATGTTTTTTTCGATCCATTGGGAGACGTCCGCATGGAAGTGCCCAGCATTTACAGCCATCCTTCCCAGCTGCAATGTTTCTGGGGCTGTCTCGCGCAGGGGAGACAGTGTGCCCGCGTGTGTATATGTGTGAGGCGTACATTGCTGCTGGGTCGCTTTTTCAGTATCGGTTACCTCAGATCGGTGGCGGTGTTCGACGCGCAGTCTTTTGATTGTATGCACCGCCCCAAGATGGCGGGTCTGGCAGTCTTGCAGTTCTTGCGTTTCTGGCCGTTGGAGCCTCATTGGCACCAGACCGCTGCTTGCGCTTCAAACTGCCCATGCCGAGCTTCGTTCCGTTTTTTTGGCTAGGCCGCTGCATGTTGGTTTTGCAGCGCCTCTCGTTTTTCTTCCACACCACCTTCTGCATGGCCATGGTTGGGCCGTTCCATCATGACGCATTCGATTACGTTCGTTCGCAATAGGCACCTCCACCTGTCGACCGCGCCTGAGGTTCCTCTGCGCCGCGGACTCCAAAGTGTGCGAGGCGTGTCTGCAGCCAGGACCGGGCTGAAAGTTAAGGCCGACAAGCATCAGCATGAGTGCTTCTGAGCAGGGTCGAGCTGAAAGGATATGAGCGCGGAATTGTTGTAATATAATCCTCCCACTCGTTTTGTCTCGTCGTTTCGTGTGTACGCAGGATGGTTGGCCTTTTTTTCTGGGCTTCGGGCATTTGCATGCTGCACGTTCTCTCGCCAGTCGGCTCGCGTGAGGTTCCTGGTAGGCCTGTTCTTGTTTTGATTCGCGCAGTTGGGATCGGATCTCACCAACTCAACCCATATCCGATTTACGAGGACAAATAACAATCCCCCCCTGGTGACGAGGCACCTGTACCACTACTTCTACCGCCACGCCAAGGGTGACGCTGGGTGGCGTTCTGAGCACTCTCGGGAGGGCGTTGCAAAGGGGATATAAGGGGAAGGAGCGTGTGTCAACCAAGCGAGGTGCCGATCTTCCATTGGAGAGCACTCGTCCCGTTTTGATTGAGATGGCAAACAGAGTCTTCCACGACCAGTCGGCATGCTTTGCCAGCACGGCCAGCATCAGGGCAGATGGTCAGCGCAGGGGGAGCACCGACCTTTTCTCATTGTGCTATCGCGGAAAGGTCATGTCGACTTTCAGGTCCATGTTTCGATTCTTGCCATGTCCTGCTGGCCGCGGGCTGCTTGCAGCAATCTGCAGCAGCAGTCCCAGGCCCAGGACGGGGTTCCGAGAACGCTGTGCGGGCACGCCGCGGACACATTGGTGGGGCCGTGCCTTGCTTGTGGGGCCGGGATTTTCGTTTGCGGAGCTCCTGCGGGAGAGAAGGGCAGTTGCTTCTGGCGTGTGTCCCGCCAAAGCCCCTGAGATGCAACGCAGGCAAGTCGAACGACGACGAGCGAGGCCGACGAGCGAGGCCAGTCCGCGTATCGCCAGCATCTCGGGCTCCTGCTCTCGACATTCAGTCTCCTGCGCTATCCCCGGCAGGACATGTCATGCCCTTTTTTCCCGAAGAGGGGGAGCAGCACTGTAAACCTCATACGTGCCAGCGATGTTGCAATCACCTCTCCACATTCCCTCTTCGTAGGTCCCTGCAAGAATTTATGATCATCACGGGAAGTGCCCCATTGGAAGACAACAGTCTGAGAATTTGGAATCGCGCCAAGATTCAATCCCTGCGGCTTCAGCGCCACGAGTCAAGGGGAGCGCTGGGTCCTGACAGCCCGAGCTCGTGCAAGGACACCGTTCCTTTAAGCACCGCGACTCAACGTGTCTGTTGCGTCCTGACAAGTCTAAGTCGCGCCAGAACCCCACACCAGTTTTAGGGTTTCAACCGTACGACTTCGTCAAGCTGCTGCAACCTTTAAAAAACCGAATGTGCGCGGAGCCGAGGCGAGAGCTACATTCAGGAGGAGAACAAACGCACAGACACAATGAGTCGTCGATTCCCCAGGAGATATGGGAAACTATGGGCAGTGGGGGGAAGAGAGAGACCCAGAAAATGTGGGAACATACTGTAGAGGGAAACAATTACTGAACACTCCCCCTCCCCTCCAACCTCACTGTTGGCACGCTCGAGGGAGACTGCGGTCGAAGTGCATTCAACCCACTGCCGACGTTGATCATTGGAATCGGGGGGGGGGTGGGAGGAGGGGGACGGGGGGGGGCGGGGGGGGGGGCCGGGCCGCCGTTTTGACAAATGAAATGTTGGCATGACTTGTTCGCTAATTGTCCGAGGCGTATGGGGGCTCCTTTATTGTGTGTAAAAGTTTGGTTAGTTGCTCCCGGGATCGTAATAAAATAATAAAAAGGGAGGAAGGAGGTGGGGGGAAGGGAGAGGAGGAGGAGGGAGGGGGGGGAGGGGGAGGGGTGAGGGGTGGGAGGTGGGAGGAGGAGGATGAGGAGGAGGAGGAAGGAGGAGGAGGGGAAAAGCAGGAGGAGGAGGAGGGGGAGGAGGGAGGAGGATAGGTAGCAGGAGGGAGGGAGGGGGTCTCATTTCGGGGGGGGGGGGTGGTATCTTCCAGGCGACTCTATCCTTGGGGGACATGGGGGGGGGTCTGGGTGGGACAGGTTTCTGGAGGGTTCT